CACCGCGACGCGGAAAGCTTACGTTCCTGACTGTAGATTCCCGCGTGGATCCAGAGAGGCGACAGGATACAAACGAAGGAGGAGCTCATTACAGCGATTGCTCTCATCCCAGCTCCCTCTTCCCTGCCTTCTCCTCCCCATCAAGTCCGGCGGCATTCCACGCATAGCCCAAGAGGTCTGTCTTTGGCTGGGAGAAGAGGTGACAGGGGGGAATTGAGCATAGTTTGTGTACAATGTCGATTCCTCCGAGGTAAGATGCAACATCGTGAAAGCAATGTTGGGATGGGACCTGAGAGTCTACCCCACTCTTGTTCATCCGGATGTCGACCGAGAAGATGGCGTGTGAGCGCGAGGATGTCGCGTTCATGTTCGTGGCTGCGACAATGCGCTGCTTCGCCCCTTCCTCGCATTCGATTGCATGTCTGCGCAGCTCTTGAGAGACAAAGGGTGGGCAGCTGTCGACTACGAAGAATACTTAGAGATCCCAGCAGTTGCACAAGCATGCCATTGTACAGCAAAGCAGCATGTATCACGTGCGCATGCGAAGCGCTTCGTCTTTTTCGCCACACGACAGTAAACCATCATGAGTAATCACGTTCGATAAAATACCCACGGTCGTCTGGAAACAGGCACTGCGAAGAGACAGTTGGAACACAGTGCTGCGTACTTGCCACCACGTGGACAAAGCCGCGCGCCAGAAACGACGAAAATCCCCTGCCCTCGAAATGACCCCTCGAGCGCACAAGCCGTCAACACGATCACCTGCCCTGCAACCCTGCACCGAGGTCTGGGCGTGTGCAGGTGTCCGCCCAGTTCCCCACTCCTCCTCCCTCCGCCCTCTGCCCCTCCTCCCGTCCCCCTGCTCCCACATCCCCCTTCCCCCCTCGCCATCCACCCTTCTCCTTCTTCTCTTCTCCTTCTCTCATCCATCCTCCCTCCACCTCCTCCTCCTCCTCCTCCTCCTCCTCCTCCTCCTCCTCCTCCTCCTCCTCCCCTCCCTCCTCCTCCGTCCCTCAGCCCTCCTCCCTCCGCCCTCCGCCCTCCTCCCTCCTCCCTCCACCTCCTCCTCCTCCTCCTCCTCCTCCTCCTCCTCCTCCTCATCATCATCATCATCATCATCAGCATCATCATCATCGTCATCATCATCAGCAGCAGCATCACCATCACCATCACCATCACCATCACCATCATCAGCATCATCATCATCATCATCAGCATCATCATCATCATCAGAATCAGCATCATCAGCAGCAGCATCATCCTCGTCATCATCATCAGCATCACAATCATCATCATCAGCAGCATCATCATCATAATCAGCATCAGCATCATCATCTTCATCATGTTCATCAGCATCTTAAGCATCGTCATCATCATCAACATCGTCATCATCATCAACAGCATCAACATTATCATTATCATCATCATCATCATCAGCATCATCAGCAGCATCATCAGCAGCGTCAGCATCGTTATCATCATCAGCAGCATCATCATCAGCAGCAGCATCATCAGCAGCATCAGCATCATCATCATCATCGTCATCATCATCATCATCAGCAGCAGCCTCAGCATCAGCATCAGCATCAGCATATGCATCATCAACGTCAGCATCATCATCATCATGAGCATAATCGGCATCATCATCACCATCATCAGCAGCATCGGAATCGCCATCAGCATCAGCATCATCATCACCATCATCGCAGCAGCATCATCTTCAGCGGCATCATCATCAACATCACCACAAGCATCATCAGCCGCAGCATCATCATCGTCACCATCAGCATCGGCATCATCGTCATCATCAGCAGCATCAGCATCATCAGCATCATCATTATCATCAGCAGCAGCATCATCAGCAGCATCATCAGCAGCATCATCAACAGCATCAGCATCATCAGCAGCAGCATCAGCATCAGCGTCAGCATTATCATAAGCATCGTCATCATCAATATCATCAGCATCGTCATCATCATCGTCATCATCCTCACCACCATCAGCAGCATCGGAATCGGCATCATCATCATCGCAGCAGCACAATCAGCAGCATCATCAGCAACATCACCACCGTCATCATCATCATCATCAGCAGCATCATCTTCGTCAGCAGCATCAGCATCATCATCGGCATCATCGTCATCATCATCAGCATCAGCATTAGCATCATCACCAACAGCAGCACCATCATCGTCAGCATATCATCATCATCGGCATCATCAGTATCATCAGCATCCTCATCATAATCAGCATCATCAGCATCAGCATCAGCATCATCATCACCACCACCACCACAACCACCGTCTTCATCATTATCATCGTCAGCATCGTCAGCATCATCGTCATCATCATCATCCTCATTATCAGCATCATCATCAGCATCATCATCATCATCGTCATCATCATCAGCAGCATCATCAGCAGCATCATCATCAGCATCATCATCATCATCGTCCGTCTCCTCCGTCCTCCTCCTCCTCCTTCTCATCCTCCTCCTCCTCCTATTCCTCCTCCTTCTCTTCATCCCTCCTCCCTCTATCCATCGCGCCCTCCCGCCCTCCCTCCCTCCCTCCTCCCTCCTCCCTCTTCCCTCCTCCCTCATCGTCTTCCTCTTCCTCCTCCTCCTCCTCCTCCTCCTCCTCCTCCTCCGCCTCCTCCTGCTCCTCCTCCTCCTCTTCTCCCTCCTCCTCCCCTTCCCTCCTCTCTCCCTCATACATAGTCCCCCCTCTCCCTCCCTTCTCCCTCCTCCCTTCTCCCTCCTCCCTTCTCCCTCCTCACTCTTCCCTCCTTCCTCCTTTCTCCTCCCTCGGTCCTCCTCCCTCCTCCCTCCTACCCCTCCCCCTCCTCCTCCTCCCCTCCTCCTCCTCCTCCTCCTCCTCCTCCTCCTCCTCCTCCTCCCTCTCTTCTTCGTATTATTCTTATTATTATTCTTTTTCTTATCATATTATTATTCGACTTAGCATGTTTTTTCTTCTTCTTCTCCTCCTCCTCCTCCTCCTCCTCCTCCTCCTCCCGCCCGCCCGCCCGCCCGCCCGCCCGCCCGCCCTCCTCCCTCCCTCCCTCCCTCTCACTCCTGCCTCCTCCCCCGCCCTCCGCCCTCCTCCCTCCTCCTCTCCTCCCTCCTCGCTCCTCCCTCCTCCTCCTCCTCCTCCTCTCCTCCTCCTCCTCCTCCTCCTCCTCCTCATCTTCCTCCTCTTCCTTCTCCTCCTCCTCCTCCTCCTCCTCCTCCTCCTCCTCCTCCTCCTCCTCCTCTTCCCCCACTCTCCTCCTCCTCCTCCTCCGCCTCTTCCTCCTCTCCTCCTCCTCCTCTTCTCCCACCTCCCTCCTCCCTCCCTCATACATCCCCCCTTACCCTCCCTACTCCCTCCTCCCTCCTCCCTCCTCCCTCCTCCCTCCTCCCCGCTCCCTCTCTCGTACATCCTCCCAATTTCCCCCTCCCCTACCCCCCTGCCCCCGAGGCGCCCGCAAAGCTGCCTCCAAGTTAGAGACCCGGCCCCCACCCCTGGGGACGTGCAGGCACAAGCCACATCCCACGGCAGCTTCCCTCGCCCGCCGCCTGCCCAGAGCGCTGGCGCCAAAAAAAACGAGCTGGGCTGTCCCAAGATTCGGGGAGGCCCGCTTCAACGGTCAGGAACTGTTGCTCAGAGTGTCGCGGCGGCGGCCCTGGCGACAAGCCACGCCGTGCAAGCGGATAGCGTGTCGCTCCAGTCCGCGGAGCGGGAGGTTCGGAAAGACTCGGGACGTCGACGCTTGGGGGCGGGGACGTGGAAGGCGCTCTGCGCCGAAATGTGGTGGGCAAGAACTGGCGGCGCGACAGGCTGAGCCAAAGACCCCAGCCGTAACCGTCGCAGAGATCGCGCACGGCAGCTCCGTGTCATGACGCCTTGCGCGGTGGCTCTGGCACCGCGTGGATCAATCCAACCGTGAACGATCGCGGCGGTCCGATGGTGCGCATAATTCGATGCCAGCCGCTCCTGAGACGCCGGCGGCGCTCAGCCTTGAGCACCCGCGCGGGGGGCGCCGACAAGCCGACACGGCGCGAACCTGCCGTAGTCGTGGAACGCCGTGCGTACGGCATCGTACGGCATAACGTCCACAAGTGGGGAGGAGGCCCAACAGCGCCATCCCATCTCCAGAGTAGAAAACTGTTGCTCCCCACATCATGGGTGGGGTTCTTGTTATCCCAAAACACCCTCTCCTCCTCCTCCTCCTCCTCCTCCTCCTCTCTCCTCCTCCTCCTCCTCCTCCTCCTCCTCCTCCTCCTCCTCCTCCTCCTCCTCCCCACACCTCTGCCCTCCTCGTCCCTTCCACTACCACTCCCACTCAGCCCTGAGTGCCGCAGGCAGGGCGCAACTGCGTCAAGCGTACAGCGCAGAATCAAGGCCCGACAGGCCGAAGCTATGTTCACGCACTTCTTCATCCAGCAGCGAGGTGGGAAACCGTGCAGGGGCATTCGCGGGGCCGCCTTGCTGCTGGTCTCTGGGGCCGGCCTCGCTCTTTCGGCGCCCAGTCACACTGGCGGCCTGTCGGCTCTTTCGTCCGTCCGCCGAAGCTGCTGCGCTCTGTGAGCTTTCGTGCAGCGTCGTGGCGGGCGCAACGGGCTTGTGGCTATGGCTGCTACCCGCCGTGCCAGCCTAGGCCAGCGTTGTTGGTAATGACGCTATTGCAGCTCTTTGCACTCGAGCTGCATCGGAACCGTTTCACCGCTGCCGCTGTGGGCGCGTCGTAAACGCCACGCTTTGGCGCACCTCGTCTCCGTCTGCCTTTGTGCATAGGTCCGCCCTGTTGTGCTCGGCCAGCTCCTGCAATTGCATTGTCGCGGCGGCATTTCCACGTGCATGCGCGTTCTCGCGTTTTCCTGAAAGTGTCTGCGCCCTGTAGACCACCCATCTGCTAAGCCAGGTGGAATTTCGCCTACTCGTGTCCTGGCTGAGCACGTCGCGACGGCTTCGCCACCTCGCTGCTGGATGAAGAAGTGCGTGAACATAGCTTCGGCCTGTCGGGCCTTGATTCTGCGCTGTACGCTTGACGCAGTTGCGCCCTGCCTGCGGCACTCAGGGCTGAGTGGGAGTGGTAGTGGAAGGGACGAGGAGGGCAGAGGTGTGGGGAGGAGGAGGAGGAGGAGGAGGAGGAGGAGGAGGAGGAGGAGGAGGAGGAGGAGAGAGGAGGAGGAGGAGGAGGAGGAGGAGGAGGAGAAGGAGGGAGGAGTAGGAGTTGTAGGAGGAGTAGGAGGAGGAGGACAGGTCGCCTAAGCCCTTCGGAGAAACCCAATGCACCCTGACCCGCCGAAGGGCCACACCCCTCCAGCGACGGCTGCAGGCCACGGCTCGAAGGGGAGCCCCGCCCGGTGAGAAAACGCAGGCGCCAGCACGAGCGAACGCCCCCGGGGGGAAGAGCGAAGTCGCCCAGTTCGCGCAGGGCGCCAGCACCCTGCAGCTGACGAATGAGGTGGCGCTCGGACGGGGGCGACGGCAGCAGCGTGTGAGCGCCCGTGGGGCCAGGAGGGTTCCGCCAGCGGCGCGCGTGATGTCCAGAGGGGGGGATCCCGGTGTCAGGGGCACTGGCTGGTGGCGCGAGGCGCGCGACGCTCGTCGCCGACGGGGGTCTTCCGCGCGCGAGCGTCGGGACGCAAGATGCGGCGGGGAATGGTGAGGCGCTGAATCAGAGGCCTGGGAACCTTGCGCCCGAGGTCGGATCCAAGCCCCACGAAATGTAGCAGTCCCTTCCAGAAAACCGACAGGCACACGTTCTCAGCATCGCAACCTAGGAGCGGGTGCAAGGCACAGGCCAACTTGGAGAGATGCTTGCGGTCGACCTGGAGGTCGTGAGCGGGCGGATTGCCGTCGTTGAACTCGTGAGGATGAAGGCGGAGCAGATAGGCGAGGATGGGAGCGAAGCAGGGGTGATCCACGAGCTTGCTCACGCTCCGCCAGCTCGGCGCAGGTCACTTCCACGGAGAACCCGAGAGGGGGGGCCGTCCGCAGGGAGGTCAAGAAGGCGCGTTGGTCCTCGGCGGCGAGCGCCTCGGCCCAGTGATCCGCCACTGGACGGGCTGCTCTGGGGGCAGCGGGGGCGGCACCACGGATGACCGCCAGCGGTGTCTTGGAGAACGTCACGACCTCACCGCGAGTCCTGGCGGAGCTGGGCCCAGTGTTGTTGGCCTTCGCCACGAGGTCGGTTTCGAAGGTCCAGGTAAGAAGCTGATGCAAGCCAGCCTTGTGGCTCGCCTCGGCAATGGCGCAGTTCATCAGAGAGCTGCAGCCGCACCTGGCATGAGAGAAGGCGACGTTGGCGCGGCGGGGGCAGCCGGTGAAGCCGAGAATGCCGGAGGCGTAGGAGCGGACGCAAGAGACAATGACGAGCTCGGCTTCGTCGCCCTGCATCGAGTTGGTGGTGGAAGCCGAGCAGGTGGGCCACCTGCTGGCGATGCCGCGAAAGGTGCAGGGCACCTGCGGAGGCGCGGTCGAGCGGCGGCAGGGGATGGGAGGCGGCAGGCGGCTGAGGGGAAGTCGCCACCTCTGGTTGAAGATCTCCACTTAGAGCTTGTATGGAGTGAGAACAACAACCTTGGTGTTCGTACCTGCGAGGTGCGGCATGACGATCTCGAGGATCCGAACAGACTCGCTGGCTTCGTGAGGGTTGCAGCAACTGCTCCCTCGGGTGTACTCCACAAAAAGAACGTGCGCAGTCAGGAAGCGGTCGCAATCGCCGAGCGGCGAAACGCGTTTGCCATTGAAGCAAAGCTTGGGGGGAGGAGGCGCCGCAGGTGTCGGGGCGGGCCCGCGGTGGGAGCCGCCAGGAGGCCGATCCACACCACCGACTGGCCCGCGGTCACCGGCTGGAGGGAGGGGTCGGGCTGCGCCTGGGGAGCCAGCCTCTCGGTGCGGGGGGGGGGGGCCCGACCAAATTTCCCAGCCGTTCTGGCCATGCGACCCCCGGGATCTTGGATCGCGGCACGGCAACATCGCCGCGTGCGAGCCCGCTCGGGAGGCGACCGCCGCAGAGCTAGGGCGCGGGCGGGCGGGGCCTCAGGCGGCCGGAAGGTGCGGGGACCAGGCGGTGCCGAAGAGCTTGCACAGGAAAAGGTACGCCTTGGACAGGAGCCGGAGGCGAAGTCCCGGAGGGCCGAACCGCACACACACGCACACGGACCACAACACAACGCAGCCAAGCACTGCTACGGGTCCTCTTATCCGTAGTCGCAAAGCCATCGCCCGACAGGCATAAGCAGGAGGCCCCCGGCAGCACTCCAAACGCTTCTGGAGGCCTCTGGAAGCCTGCGGAGGCTCAGCAGGGGCAGAAAAAATCCAAGAACCTCGATACCCTCAACCACGATCAAGGATCGAGGAGGCTCGAAGAGGATCGAGCATCAAGGCTGGAAAACCGAGAAGGATCGAGGATCGGGGAGGTCGAAGAGGATCGAGCATCGAGGATCGAGAATCGAGGAGGATCGGGAAGCGAGGAGGGTCGAGGAGGATCGAAGAGGTTCGAGGGTTCAGGATGGAGGAACGGGGAGGATCCTCGAGACCTCGACCTGCGCCAGAGATGCGCCCTGGCCAGTCCTCCAGGATGTCGTCCATGGCGTCGTACGACAGCACGGGCAGCTGCGACAAGCCAGGCACGTGGGGCCCCAACTGCGGGTGCAGACGCACCTGTGCGCGTGGCCGCGGCTACCGACGACGACAACGACGACGACGGTGACGACGGCGACGACGAAGACGACGACGACGATGACGATGACGATGACGATGACGACGGCGACGGCGGCGGCGACAAAACGACGAAACGACGGAGCGAAGGCGACAGAACAGTGACGATTCCCCAACCTCCTCCTCCTCCTCTTCCTCCCCCTCCTCTTCCTCCTCCTCCTCCTTCTCCTCCTCCTGGTCGTCCATTGTCACCCCTTTTCTCCCTCCTACTCCTCCTCATCCTCCTCCTCCTCCTCCTTCTTCCCTTCTCCTCCTGCTGGTCCACCCCAACAGCCTCCCCCTTCTCACCCTCCTTCTCTGTCACATTTCCTCTTGACAAGACTATTGCTATTACGAATAGCATTAGTAACCATTAGTACTAATGTGATTACAAGTATGATTACTCGTTCCATGTATTATTATACATGTTTTTATGGGTGTTCGCGTTCGTCTTCGTATTCCCCTTAGCCGTATTACTATGAGCATGCGTGTTAGCATCCGTCTTTTTCTCATGAGTATGATTAGCCTTCCTCTTGCTAGCATTATTATCATTAGAAGAAGAAGTAGTAGTAGTAGTAGTGGTGGTGGTGGTAGTAGTAGTAGTAGTAGTGGTGGTATGCTTCTTCTGCCCTTGTATTATTCTGCTGCTGCTGCTCTTCCTTCTCCCCCTCCTTCTACTCGTCCTCCCTTTGTTTCCCATGGCTCTCGCTGCACCCTCTGGATTTCTGACCGAAAAGCTGCTGAAAGGAATTACTTTGCTTCGAGCGATCTCCACCGAAACCTTCGGCGTGTGTTCTCAACGGTGCGCGCGTCGCGCTTGACATGTTCTGAAATGGTAGTTACAGTGGTGATGTGTTACGGTGCGATCTGATATGGCATGGTGTGCTGTGTTACGACATGGTGAAGCACGGTACGTTATAGTATGCTATGGTGTGGTTTGTTAGGAGGTGTGGCGCTATGTTCAGTTGTGTACGATAAACTGTGGCATAGCGTATGGTAGTATGTTATGGTATGTCGTTATATGGTATAACATGTTATGCCGCGCTCTGTCAGGTGATGATGTGTCATGTGTGCGACGATGTGATTTATCATGTTGTGTGTGGTGTGGTGCTGTGTTCTGGAATGGTGTGGTGGGTTCTGCAATGGCATGCCATGGTATGGTGTGGTCTGCCATGTCATGGCATGGTGTGATGCAGTATGCGATGCTGGGGATGATCCGATATGTCATAGCATGCGTTGATATGCTGGGTTGTGCTATGATATACTGGGCCACGGTATGTAAGGCTGTGGCATGGTATGTCTTGGCGTGTGCAACTCTGCAATGGTGTCGTATGGTATGATTGCTGTGTCCTGGTATGGAATGGTATGTGCTGTGATGCTGTGCTATGGTAGGTACTGTTCTGTGATGGTGCGCTAGATGTCGATACGATATGGCATGATATGGTGTGCTATGCCCAGTTAGTTTATGCTAGGTGGTGTGGTGTTATGCTCTGCTGTGTCAACGCTTATAGTGTCGTGGTGTACTGTGTTCTTTCATGTTGTAGCACAGCTCTTTCATGTTATGGTATCGACGCGAGGCGATACACTCGGGGACACTCGGGGACACTGAGGAGACCTGGGGATCTGACGGCCGCGGTATGCAGAGTGGCGCGAGGCGGGACACTCGGGGACACTCGGGGGGCCTGGGGATCTGGCGGCCGCAGTATCCAGTGGGCGAGTCGGCGCGAGAAGATATACTCGGGAACACTCGGGACACCTGGGGATCTGGCGGCCGCGGTATGCAGAGTGGCGCGAGGCGGGACACTCCGTGACACTCGGGAGACCGGGGGATCTGGCGGCCGCGGTATGCAGAGCAGCGCGAGGCGGGACTCTCGGGGACACTCGGGGGAACTGGGGATCTGGCGGTCGCGGTATGCAGTGGGCGAGTCGGCGCGAGAAGATATACTCGGGAACACTCGGGACACCTGGGGATGGCCGCGGTGTGCAGAGTGGCGCGAGGCGGGACACTCGGGGACACTCGGGGAACCTGGGGATCTGGCGGCCGCGGTATGCAGAGTGGCGCGAGGCGGGACTCTCGGGGACACTCGGGGAACCTGGGGATCTGGCGGCCGCGGTATCCAGTGGGCGAATCGGCGCGAGAAGATATACTCGGGAACACTCGGGACACCTGGGGATCTGGCGGCCGCGGTATGCAGAGTGGCGCGAGGCGGGACACTCCGTGACACTCGGGAGACCTGGGGATCTGGCGGCCGCGGTATGCAGAGCAGCGCGAGGCGGGACTCTCGGGGACACTCGGGGGACCTGGGGATCTGGCGGTCGCGGTATGCAGTGGGCGAGTCGGCGCGAGAAGATATACTCGGGAACACTCGGGACACCTGGGGATGGCCGCGGTATGCAGAGCGGCGCGAGGCGGGACACTCGGGGACTCTCGGGAGATCTGGGGACATGGCGGCCGCGGTATGCAGAGTGGCGCGAGGCGGGACTCTCGGGGACACTCGGGGAACCTGGGGATCTGGCGACCGTGGTATGCAAAAATGCGCGAGGCGAGACACTCGGGGACACTCGGTGGACTTGGGGATCTGGCGGCCGTTGTATGCAGAGTGGCGCGAGGCGGGACTCTCGGGTACACTCGAAGGACCTGGGGATCTGGCGGCCGCGGTATGCAGAGCAGCGCAAGGTGGGACTCTCGGGGACACTCGGGGAACCTGGTGGCCTGGCGGCCGCGATTTGCAGAGCGGACGGGTCGGGATGTCGGTTCCTATGACATGCCCAAGCACATGCACATGCACATCATCATCATCATCATCATCATCATCATCATCATCCTCCTCCTCCTCCTCCTCCTCCTCCTCCTCCTCCTCCTCCTCATCATCATCATCATCATCATCATCATCAACATCAGTATCATCATCACCATCATCATCATCCTCATCATCATCATCATCATCAGCATCATCATCATCGTCATTCATTCATTCATTCATTCATTCATTCATTCATTCATTCATTCATTCATCATCATCATCATCATCATCATCATCATCATCATCATCATCATCATCATCATCATCGTCATCATCATCATCATCATCATCAGCATCATCAACATCAGCATCCTCATCCTCATCATCATCATCATCATCATCATCATCATCATCATCATCGAGGTCGTCATCATCAGCATCATCACCATCATCATAATCATCATAATCGGCATGGTCATCATCATCACCATCATCGTTAGAAGCATCCTCATCACCATCATCATCATCATCATCATCATCATCATCACCCTCGACAACAACATCATCATCATGATTATCATCATCAGCAACATCAACACCATCATCATCGTCATCATCATCACCAGCATCATCATCGGCAGCATCATTATCATCATCATCATCATCATCATCATCATCATCATCAGCATCATCATCATCGTCATCATCATCATCATCATCAGCATTAGCATCAGCATCAGCGTCAGCATCATCATCATAGCCATAATCGTAATCATCATCATCAGCAGCAGCATCATTATCATCAGCAGCAGCATCACCACCATCATCATCAGCACCATCAGCAGCAGCATCATCATCAGCATCATCAGCAGCATCAGCAGCATCATCATCACCACCACCACCATCATCATCATCATCATCAGCATCATCATCATCGTCGTCAGCATCATCATCAGCAGCAGCATCATCGTCAGCATCATCAGCATCGGCATCATCATCACCATCCTCATCGCAATCGCTCAGCATCATCACCATCCCCATAATCATCATCATCATCAGCAGCAGCATCAGCAGCATCATCATCATCATCATCATCACCAGCATCAGCATAACCAGCATCATCATCGTCATCATCATCACCATCACCATCACCATCATCAGCATCATCATCAGCAGCAGCATCATTATCATCAGCATCGTCATGATCGTCAACATCATCAGAATCATCATCAGCATCATCATCATCAGCATCATCATCAGCATCATCAATCCCCTCCTCCTGGGCAGGGACGGAGGAGGGAGCAGGGAGCAGGGAGCGGCAGAGAGAGGCGGGGACACAGGAGAGGGGGGAGACGCGGCAGGGGCAGCGCAGGGGAGTGGGGAAGGCGAGCCAGGTGGCCTGCAGATCTTTGGCCTGGCTCTTCGGTGCGAGCAAGTCGCTCAGCTTCTCGTTGTAGATCTCCTCCCCTCCTGCTGCTTCCCGCGGCTGACTCCCTCCCCCTCTGCGAAGCCAGAGTTCGTCCGTATCCACCGCCTGGAGAACCGATCCTTCCTGGACCCCAGAGGGCAATGGATGTGGATAGACTTGGGCCACAAGGGGGGGGCGGGCGGCGAACAACACATCCGTGCCCACCGCCCTCCTGGAGTCCAGGAAGATCGCTGCCGCAGGAGGTGGATATGTTTATGTCGGGCGTGTTCCCCCTACAATGGGATTTTCGACGAAAAATGAAGAATACCCAAAAATACCCCAAAAAGGTAAAAAAATATTCAAAAAATAGTCCCCAGGCTATTGTTGGACTATTTTTGAACATTCCCCCTGTAGAGGGACAGGTCCGACTTACGGATATGTACCAGTCAGCTGGAAACGCACGTGCCTGGGCTCATGTGCGGAAGCGCTGGGCACACGTGCGAAAGCCCGGCATTCGGCGGTGGACAGACCTTCCTTTATTAAACCACCCCTCGGACCTAAACCGAACCGAGGGACCGAAACCGAGGGACCTGGACCCGCAAAAATGACGGCCGCGACAGCCCTCCCGCGAACCGAAAACGGCCAAGTCGCTAATCGACG